ATATCCAGCAAATAGTGATTAGTACTCTTAGCAAATCTTTTTGTTGCCCATATAATAACGAAAAAATTTTGCTAGACCAGCAGAAAATTTGGTGGACCAGCAAATAATTTTTCTCCGCATATCTATTGTAATCTTAATCGTAAGCAGACAATTGATGCGTGTGTTTGCAAATGGCATTGCGATTGATGTAACATGTAACTGAATTTCGTTTGCGCTTTGTTACATTTACACATTAGCCAGACATTTACTTTAACGACGAGTGTGAGGAGAAGTAAGTGTTCGTTTCATGTTTTGATTCAGAAATCACTTTCCTCTTCGCGATAATGGACTCCGTGTATTTATTCGAATTAATCTTTTATAGTCGACTAACCGTGAAGTGTCATCGATGTCGAGATATACGTTATTTATATACTGCTCTACGATACAATATGAGTCATGATTACAAGCATATTAGAGGTTATCGCATGCGATATTGAAATAAACGCCGATGCGACGAAAAGAGAATCTCATTCGTTCTCATTGGATGAGCCTCGGTGCGTTGTGCTGTGTCAAGAATTAATTTATAAAATAATTCACGTAACTAGAATTTGTTAGCCTTCAATTTCTCATTAATCATAGGCACTCACACACCTTCATGTTTTCGTTTAAACAAAGTGCTCTCCGGACGTTGAAAATATGTCATTCGCGGATATCTGTCGGTATCTCGTTGTTTCCTGTTCGTGCGTGTCTTCCTTTTATGAATATTGCATTATATGAATTTCGACGCACAATTGTCGCAAAGAATATCAATCATCGTCGAGGTCTTCTCACTAGAAATGAAAAAATCGCTCGATAATTGGAAAAATAAAATTTCTATGAACGTCTTCTTATATAAGATTCTATTTTGAATAACTATATGAAGCTTCACTGACGTTAAATAACTGGTATTTACAACAATTGTCGGTCTGTCTTCTCGTGTCTACTTATATATTCGTTTTCCTGTTTCTTCTTATTTCTTTTTTTATTTTGCGACTAACTATTGGTCGTTTATTTGTAAATCTGGCAAGACTAGATTATTAGTAACCTATTATTAAAGTTACTATCTAAGTTAGAGAAAGTTATTCGTAAGACACAGGAATAATTAGGTACAGATTGTGAAGAAAATTTGATTAACCTTTAGTGTCACGAATTTTTCCTTACATACATATTTTTTACATACATACTTACATAATAATAGTAAATTACATAATTTCTACATACTTTAATAATTATTATATTATTAATTTTTATTATCACTATTATTAATTCATATTCATTATCACTGTATCTCGTAGAAGCGTTGCAGTTTATTTTTTCACGCACAACATGAATGTGAAAGCTATTTCGCACTCGTCGGTTATGGTTTTAACTAAAGTGCAAAAATAAAAATATATAAAATATAATTATGCTTAGTCGCGTTTAATCGAACCAATCACACATACAACAGCATTGTGTATGAGTTAAAGTATAATTTATGGATTCCTTATTTTATTCTGCATATATCAATCAATATTTACCCTGATTGGCGCATATATCTACATGTTGGTAGAATCTGGCAAGTTTCTCAGGACTATGTTTTTCGGCTTTGGAGGGTAAGATCTCTTTTATCTTGTCTAAATTTAAACACGCATCTGTCATTTAGAATTCGTGCATAAACTTAAGGATTCACAGTGAATAATCATGTAAATATATGAAATTTAAATAATGTATTGCGTAATTATTCGTGTTAAACTGTAATTTCTATAGAAAATTAAACTATAGAATATTTCTATAGAAAATTAGAAAATTAGAAAAAGTGTAACTCATAAATTTAAAATTTTCTTCACACACAATTCCACGAAATTATCCTTCCTCCCCCCGAAATCAAAACCCATTTCTACCAAAAACAAGTTGTTTAATATACATGTATAAATTTGTGTCTATATGTGTACGTGTATGTATATACATATACGTGCAGATGTGTGGTCTGTTGTTGGAAAACATTATTTATTGAGATTGATATTTGCCTTTTCTTCCTTCTGACCTAAGCAGACAAACAGACAGCCGATTTTTAAATTTGTATTGTGCGCGTCTGTTGATTGTAAATTGTCTACCGCATTCGTTTCAAATTTTATCAAATCCTCTACAAAGATATTGTGTCGGTTAGATCGTCTAGATTAATATTGTTCGAATTACTTGAATTAATAATGAGATTTTGTGCAAAAAAAGCTCACTTTGTGTTATGCCTTTCTCGATAAAGCATACCCGCGCTTCATCTTTCGTCATTTCTAAAAAGCCCGCTATTCTTTCTATCGCATCTTCGTATTCGAAGCCCATTGTCTGCAATAGGCAAAAAGAATCAAGGTTCGTAGAACAGTCGGAAGCATGATTCAATAAAATAATTGAACGATGTAGCAGGTTTTGTTATTAATTACAATGCATATACCCTGATATTATAATATTATATTGATGTACAGTAAAGCGCAAAATGTTTTAAACATGATGAAGTTGAAAGCTTATTAAGTTGTCAACACTTGAAGTCATTATGGAAGGCAATAATAACATAATTAATAATATAATTAAGGATACTATATGACAAAAAAGTAATAGTAATAAACTATATGACACTAATAATAATTAATAATATAATTACTTCAGAAGCCCGTCAGTAATGATTCTCAGTATTAACAGTTTGGTGAGTTCCAACTTCATAGTGTCTAAACCGTTTTGTAATTTACGGATATATCCATTGTTCCAAAAAATAATAATTTTGAAATTTGAAAACTGGGAAAAGTTATTGAATCTAAATATCGATACAATGTATCACAATACGATGGTATCGAAATATTGGAAGTGTACGATTTTTATAATCATCACTTCAAAATATTATATTACTGAAATGTGAATGATTTTCGAGAAAAGTTGTATGTTCCCAATATTTCGGTGAAATTGCATTCTGCAAATTGTATCGCGACTTTCTGGCATATTCCCTATTTTTTCACCATATTTCGCCACCGATAATTCCAATTGTATGCGTTTAAAGTTGATTCAATTTTTGACATCATTATCACGGCAAGTATTGCTTTTATACGCAGAGCAAAATATCATTTTACTGCCAAGAAATGCAAGTGCTCAGTTTATTTATTTATTTTTCTTTCTCGAAGTAGAGATTATTCCCAACAAAGGATTTTTATATTGATAACTTAAAATATCTATTTATCACAAATTTGAGAGAAACTTATATTATCGCGTACTCAAAACAAGAATTAATTTTTTTAGGAATATTATAAAAAGTTTATCTAAGGAAACATTGGTTCAACTTTGTGTAGTAAGTAAACCGAATATTTGTTTTAATTTAATATTCTTGGTTAAAATGATAAATTTACGACGACTTAAAATAAATTGAATACTTGTGATAAACTCGTGATAGATTTGAAGATATATACACGGAAAAAAATAATTTGCTGCAGCAGCAAACTAATTTGCTACATATGGATAGTTAAATATAATTCGTTATGTTAGCTCTTCTTTCTTTGCTGCAGGAATCTATTTTCTTACTATGATAACACGAATGTCTGTTCCTACAACAAGAAAAGTGACTAACGTAGCAAATTGCTACTGACGAATAACTAAATATAATATATTGCTTTAGCTACTTTGTTTATTGCACGAGCAGATTTTCTTGCCATCATAGTAAGAAAATTGGCTTCTGCAGCAAAGAAAAAATAGCTAATGCAGCAAATTATATTCAGTTGTTTATATAGGGGATCTTATTTTTCCGTGTACGCTTAATATAAAGCATTTAACACACACAATATTTATTTAAATGCAGTATGAATTTTTTGTGCGTATCGCGACTGTTATTATAATAGATAAAGAAAGCTTGAGATTTTGATTACGTACTACGCAGGTATTTACGGCAACGACGAATGTGAAGAAAAGTAAAAGTGTTAGTTAAAAGTAAAAGTAAAAATAAAAATGTAGTTTTATATTTCGACTCGTGAGTTGCTTCCTTTTCCACGATAATAGACTTTGATTTGCGATTAATAGTCCACTGTTCAGCTGAACTGCTGTTAATATCGTGATATGCGGGATTTATATACTAATGATAAAAAAAAAAGTTGTGCTATACGAGTATCGGAGGTTATCATACGCAATAACACGCAGATGCCGAAATCATAGAAAGAGAATTCTGTCAGTCGCTATTTGATGAATCTTAGCTATTTGATGAATGTTGACATTCGTGCGAATTCATCGTTGAACACGAACGGATTAAATATAATAAGAATACGTTAGTGTTCGATTTTCTATTAATTATTGATTTATCATGTCTGTGCTTTCTCTTGAACGAAACGATCTTTGAAACTTGCAGAATAAGTTATTCGTGAACGTGTAAAATTATTTTGTTACTTTTTACTTATGTTATATGTGCGTTTCTCTTTTACGAATCTTTCATTGCATCAATGTTTCGATGCATGAATGATTTGGACGAATAAATGTAATATAAATATTAGTTTGCTTTATCTTAATTACTTTAAAATGATCTGTTGCGAACAATATTCTGTAACTATAGTAATCCCTTAACCAATTATTGGACATTATAGTCAAATATATATTAAAATACTTGCAGTATTTCCTTACTGCGAATTTCTTAGTATTTCTTAACATTAAATTTTTGTAATAGAAATACAATCCATGTAACAGATTAAATTTTTGTAATAGGTGGCACTTTATTCATTAAGCACAACGCAAATTTGAGATTCAATTCGTATCCTTCGGTTTTGTTACCTAAAATTCATAAGAAATTTTAATAATATGATGAATTATGTTTAATTTGTTTAATTTTCCGTGTCCATCTGCAGAGAAATCTACAAAAACCTTTCTTGCACATTATTCTGAACTGTCCTATTTTCTCTTTATTTAATGAGTAACGGAAACTTTGTGTGGGTTTGGGAGTTCTGTGTTGCACGCTTTAAAGCTAAGAAGCTCTTAACACATCATAATATTGTGCTTTACATACTTTATTTATTACCATATCATTAATTTTCATTGTCATTATAATTAATTTATATTCATTGTTATTGTATCTCGTAGAAACGTGCACTTCATTCAGTCACGCAGCGTAGGAATGTGAGAGCCACTTCGCACTTGTTAGTTATGGTTTCAACTAAAATGCAGGAATGAGAATATATAAAATATAAATACGCTCAGTCGTGTTTCATTGAACCAATCACATATAAGAGTATTGTGTATGAATCAAAATATAATTTGCTGTTTCTTTTTTTTACGATATTCTGTATATATCAATCAATATTTACCCTGATTGGCGCATGAATCTATATGTTGTTCGAATCTGGCGAGTTTCTCAGGATTATGTTTGGTCTCAATGGCCTGTAAGCGCTCCTGTACCCACTCTTTCATCTTGTTTAAATTTAAACGCGCACCTGTCATCTGGAATTCGTGCATAAACATAAGGACTCACAGTGAATATAATCGTGTAAATATGTGAAATTTAAATGATATATCGCGTATAGTTATTCGTGTTAAACCATGCTATAATTTCTATAGAAAATTAAACTATAGCATATTTCTATAGAAAATTAAATTGTAATTAATAAATTTAAAATTTTCTTTAATTCTACGAAACCACCCTTTCTCCCACGGAAATCAAAATCCATTTTACCTGCGTCAAATCTGTTCAAGTTATTCATTATAAATATACAAATTTGTGTGTATGTATGTGTGCGTGTGTATATATACATGTGCAGATGTGTGGCTTGTTTTTTGAAACAATTATTTATAGCCATTGATATTTACCATTTCTTTCTTCTCGCCTAAGCAGGCTAACAGACAGCCGATTTTTGAATTTATATCTTGGGCATCTGTTGCTTGTAAATTGTCTACCCTCAACATATCAAATTTCATCAAATCCTCTGAAAAAATATTGTGTCAGTAAAATCAGTTAGGTTAGTATTGTTCGAATTGTTTGAATTAATAATGAGATTTTGCGCAAACAAGAACTCACCTAGTGTAATGTTTTTCTCGATAAAGCATCCCCGCACTTCATCCTTCGACATATTTAAAGACTGCGCCACATTTTCTATCAAACCTTCTAATTCCTTCGTCTACAATGAGTAAAAAGAATCGATGTCTTCGTAGAACAGTTGGAAGCACGGTTTAACATAAAATTTGAATGGCGCAGCAGGTTTTGCTATTAATTATAGTGCATATATCCTGATACTACAATATTGGTGTACATTGATGCGCAAGTTGGTTTAAATATTACGAAGTTGAGAGCTTACTAAGTTGTCAAAATTGAAAGTCATTATGGACGGACACTTAAGTAATAATAATATAATTAATAATATAATTGAGGATATTATGTGATAAAAAGTAATAGCGATATACTATATGACATTAATAATTAATAATAATATTTAATAATAATTAATTAATAATAATTAATAATAATTAATTAATAATAATTAATAATATAATTTCTTTAGAAGCTCGTCGGTAATGATCCTCAATATTGTCAGTTTGGTGAGCTTCCAACTTTATAACGTCTAAATTGTTTTGTAATTCACTGTAAATTCATTGTCCCGAAAAATCGAAATTTTAAAATTTTAAATCTGGGAAAAATTATATAATATTGAAATTAAATATCGAGTCAATGTAGCACAATACTATGGTGTCAAAATATTAAAAGTCTACGATTTCCGTAAAATATTAAATTACTAAATGTAAATGATTTTCGGAAAAATTGTGTGTTCTCAACATTTCGGTAAAATTGCATTTTGCAGTTTGCTTCAGTATCACAACTTTCCGGTATATTCCTCACTTTTTCACCACATTTCGCTACTGATAATTCCCATTGACATTGTATGCGTTTGATTCAAAGTTGATTCAATTTTTGACATCATTATCACGGTAATTATTGCTTCTACACTTCAAATTTGAGAGGAGCTCACATTATCGCGTACTCAAAAGAAGAATTCATTTTTTTTACAAAAAAATCATAAAGAGTTTATCTAAGGGAAAGTTGGTTAGATTTTGCGTAGTAAGTAAACCAAATATTTGTTTTAATTTAATTTTCTTGGTTAAAATGCTAAATTTACGACGATTTAGAATAAATTGAATATTTGTGTTAAGTTGTGATAGATTTGAAGATATATATTCTTAATATAATACACTTGAGACATATAATATTTATTTGCATGCAGTATGAATTTTTCTGTGCGTATCGTGACTGTCATTACAATAGATGAATTTTTCTGTGCGTATCGTGACTGTCATTACGATAGATGAAGTCAGCTGCTGATTTAGGTTGCATTCTTATCAACTATGCAGATACTTACGGCAACGACGCATGTGAATAAAAGCAAAAGTGCTAGCTTCATGTTTCGACTCGGGTAGCTTCCTTTTCCACGATAATAGACTTTGATTTGCGATTAATAGTCCCCAACTATTTAGCGATGAACTGCTATTGAAATGGCGATATACGGGGTTTATATACTCACGATAGGAAAGAGAAAATATTGGATTATACACGAGTATCGGAGGTTATCAGACGCAATATTACGGAAATGCTGAAGTCACAGAAAAAGGATTCCGTCAGTCGTTTTTCGATGAATCTCGGCGTATTGTGTTTACATTCCCGCGAATTTATCGTTAAACACGAATGGAATTAACAAGGAAATAACAAGAATACGTTAGGGAGTTTGATTTCCTGTTAATTATTGATTTATTATTTTCGTCTGTGCTTTTTCTTACGTAGTGATCTTCAAAAACGGAATAAGCTATTCGCGGAAGTGTAAAAGTATTTTGTTGCTTTTTGCTTGTGACACATACGCATATATGTATGTGTGGCGTTTCTCTTTTACGAATATTTTGTTGCATGAATGTTTCGATGCATGAATAATTTGGACGAATAAATGATTAAATATTTGCTTTATTTTAATTACTTCAAAATGATCTGTTGCAAACCATATTCTTTGATTACAGTAATCCATTAATTAATGATTTTAATTAATGATTTAGTCAAATATATATTGAAATACTTGCAGTATTTAATCAAATTTCTTAATAATTCTCAATACTAAATTTTCGTAATAGAAACACAATTTATTAAAATTAAATTTTTGTAATATGTCGCACTTTATTCATTAAGCACAACGCGAGTTTGAGATTCAATTCGTATCCTTCGATCCTGTTACCTAAAATTTATAAGAAACTTTAATAATGTGATGAATTATGTTTAATTTGTTTAATTTTCCATGTCCATCTGCAGAGAAATCTACAATAACCTTTCTTGCACATTATTCTGAACTTTCTCCTTTTTCTCTTTATTTAATGAGCAACGGAAACTTTGTGTGGGTTTGGGAGTTCTGTGTTGCACGCTTTAAAGCTAAGAAGCTCTTAACACATCATAATATTGTGCTTTACATACTTTATTTATTACCATATCATTAATTTTCACTATTATTATCATTAATTCATATTCATTGTTATTGTATCTCGTAGAAACGTGCACTTTATTCATTCACGCAGCGTAGGAATCTAAGAGCCACTTCGCACTTGTTGGTTATGGTTTCAACTAAAATGCAGAAATTAGAATACATAAAATATAAATACGCTCATCGTGTTTGATCGAACCAATCACACATAAGAGCATCGTGTATGAGTCAAAGTATAATTTGCTATTTCTTTTTTTTACGATATTCTGCATATATTAATCAATGTTTACCCTGATTGGCACATGAATCTATAAGTCGGTCGAAACCAGCGAGTTTCTCAGGATTAAGTGCCTCCGCAAAGGCTTGTATCTCCGCATAGTGTTTCTGTAGCAACTCTTTTATCTTGTCTAAATTTAAACGCGCACCTGTCATCTGGAATTCGTGCATGAATATAAGGACTCACAGTGAATATAATCGTGTAAATATGTGATACTTAAATGATATATCGCGTATAGTTATTCGTGTTAAACCATGCTATAATTTCTATAGAAAATTAAACTATAGCAGATTCCTATAGAAAATTAAATTGTAATTAATAAATTTCAAATTTTCTTCAATTCTACAAAATCACCCTTTCTCCCACGGAAATCAAAATCCATTTTACCTGCGTCGAATCTGTTCAAGTTATTCAATATAAATATACAAATTTGTGTGTATGTATGTGTGCGTGTGTATATATACATGTGCAGATGTGTGGCTTGTTTTTTGAAACAATTATTTATTGCCATTGATATTTACCATTTCTTTCTTCTCGCCTAAGCAGGCTAACAGACAGCCGATTTTTAAATTTATATCTTGGGCATCTGTTGCTTGTAAATTGTCTACCGACATCATATCAAATTTCATCAAATCCTCTGAAAAAATATTGTGTTAGTAAAATCGGCTAGATTAGTATTGTTCGAATTGTTTGAATTACTAATGAAATTTTGCGCAAACAAAAACTCACCTAGTGTAATGTTCTTCTCGAAAAAGCATACCCGCGTTTCATACTTCGTCATTTTTAAAAGAATCGCCACTCTTTCTATCCAACCTTCCAAGCCCATCGTCTACAATGAGTAAAAAGAATCGATGTTTTCATAGAACAGTTGGAAATAGGATTCAATAAAAAATTTAAATGGTGTAGCAGGTTTTGCTATGAATTATAATGCATATATCCTGATATTACAATATTGGTATACAGTGAGGCGCAAGACGGTTTAAATATTACGAAGCTGACAGCTTGCTAAGTTGTCAAAATTGAAAGTCATTATGGACGGACACTTAGGTAATAATAATATAATTAATAATATAATTGAGGATACTATATGATAAAAAATAATAGTAATATACTATATAACACTAATAATAATTAATAATATAATTAGATTAGAAGCCCGTCAGTAATGATCCTCAATATTGTCAGTTTAGTGAGCTTCCAACTTCATAATATCTAAATTGTTTTGTAATTCACTGTATACTCATTGTCCCGAAAAATCGAAATTTTAAGATTTGAAATCTGGAAAAAATTATATAATGTCGAAACTAAATATCGAGACAATGTTATACAATACGATGGTGTCGAAATATTAAAAGTGTACGATTTTCGTAAAATATTATATTACTAAAATGTGAATGATTTTCGGAAAAATTGTATACTCTCAATATTTCGGTAAAATTGCATTTTACAGTTTGCTTCAGTATCGCGACTTTCCGATATATACCCCACTCTTTCACCACATTTCGCTACCGATAATTCCAATTGACATTGTATGCGTTTAAACTTGATTCAATTTTTTATATCATTATCACAGCAAATATTGCTCCTACTCGCAGAGCAAAATATCATTTTACTGCCAAGAAATGCGAGTGCTTAGTTTATTTATTTATTTACTTATTTTTCTTCCTCGAAGTAGAGATTATTCTCAATAAAGGATTTTTATATTAATAATAGTCTTAAAATATTTATTCATCAAATTTGGGAGGATCTCACATTATCTCTTACTCAAGAGAAGAATTTATTTTTTTTACAAAAATATCATAAAAAGTTTATCTAAGGGAAAGTTGGTTAGATTTTGCGTAGTAAGTAAACCGAATATTTGTTTTAATTTAATTTTCTTAGTAAAAATGCTAAATTTACGACGATTTAGAATAAATTGATTACTTGTGTTAGCTTGTGATATGTTTGGAGATATATACTCTTAATATAAAACACTTGGGACATATAATATTTATTTGAATGCAGTATGAATTTTTTTGTGCGTATCGTGACTGTCATTACGATAGATGAAGAAAGCTACAGATTTCGGTTGCATTCTTACCAACTACGCAGATACTTACGGCAACGACGAATGTGAAGAAAAGCAAAAGTGTTAGCTTCATGTTTCGACTCGGGTAGCTTCCTTTTCCACGATGATAGATTTTAATTTGCGATTAATAGTCCGCAACTATTCAGCTATGAACTGCTGTTGAAATGGTGATATACGAGATTTATATACTTGCGATAGAAAAAAGAAAATATTGGGAGAAAGAAAATAAGAACTCAATAACAATGATATCAATTAAATAATAGGGAAAAAGGCTAATTCGAGTTCATGTATAGGATTAATAGTGCTATGTACCATATGGGTAAAACCTTCCTTGTGTTAGGAAATAGAGCAGTATTTATTAACCATGAATACTCAATATAAATAATCAAATGTTTCGGCTCAATCATGAACCCTCTTCAGTGATATAAAAAAAATTCAAGGTTTACAAAACGGACGTATTACAAGTAAGAGAATTAATTAAAGACCCTAATAAAATGACATGAATGTTATTTGCAGTATTATAACTGACAAGACTGTTATCCACTAATATTAAGAAGTTCAAATTAATACTAGGAAGTAGCCATAACTATAAAACAATTGTAATAAAATAAAATAAAAATAGGTAAGATTGAAATATAATAAATAATTAAAACGGTCAATATAAATTATCTTTGTTCAGCTCAGCTAAAAGTGAAACGATCCTGTCAACGATAATATCGCCACGTCTAAGTAAAAGAGATAAGAACAGATTTATATACACGAGCATTGACATTGCGGCGACGACTCTTGGAAAAGAAGGAAACAAACAAAGTTTTATTTTCATAATAAGCCGCAGTAGCTGTTGCCCAAATATTTTGTGTCCTTTTGAGAGTTAAGTCCATGCTTTTTAAATTTAATGTAAATCATTTCTGATATCAGGCGTTTCAAATAATAACGTTCCTCATGCAAAACTTTGGCTTGATCTCAATTGAAATCATGGTTTTTCCTCAAACGATGTTCTTGTATGGCCGTTAACTCAACTGTAGAACTCCTTGGTATTTTCCTATGCTCAGCAATACGCGTAGAGTGTCTTCTACTGGTTTGACCAACATACGACGCCTCACAACTACTGCATTGCAATTTATATACAACGTTATTATGGAAACCAGAAGGCAACCTGTCTTTATGCACACGAATCATTCCTGATAATTTATTATTGCAAGAATAAGCAATATTTGTCAAATTATTTTTAAAAAGCTTTGCCAGTCTGTTCGAAACTATACCAAAAAACGGTATGATAAAATATTTTTTATCATCATAACCAGATGCTGTTAAATTTGTTTTAACTATCTCTGAACCTCGTCCGCAATTCACAATAAGAAACCTCAGTCTACGTTTTATAATTTTAAAAATTAGGTCCAAAACATAATTATTAATAATTAGCGTCAAATTGATAAAGTCTAAATTATTCTTATGGAAAATCGGATGACTAAGATAAAACATCCTATCCACCAAGCCAATAATTGTTCCGATCTTGTGTTGGATAGGATGAAAAGACAAATAGTTTAGGTACCGACCAGAAAACGTTAATTTATGATACCAGTCGAAAATAATTGTGTTATTACGTATTAAAAGAGTAGTGTCTAAAAAGTTAATACTGTCATCTCCTATTTCAATTGTGAACTGCAGCCGAGGATGAAACGAATTAAATATACGCAATATGTTATCTAAAAACTCCTTAGGAGCTGCTAAAAGAATATCGTCAACATATCTAAAATAAAAAGGCAATGTCACCGGAATCATGTTAATAGCTCTTTATAATTGAAAATATTGGATTACACTCGTATCGAAGGTTATCAGACGCAATATTACGGAAATGCTGAAGTCACAGAAAAAGGATTCCGTCAGTCGTTTTTCGATGAATCTCGGCATATTGTGTTCACATTCCCGCGAATTCATTGTTAAACACGAATGAAGTTAATATAATAAGAATACGTTAGGGGGTTTGATTTCCTATTAATTATTGATTCATTATTTTCGTCTGTGCTTTCTCTTGAACATAATGATCTTCAAAACATGCGGAATAAACCATTCGCGGAAGTGTGAAAGTATTTTGTTGCTTTTTGCTTGTGACACACACACACACACACACACACATATGTGTGTGTGTGTGCGTTTCTCTTTTACGAAGCTTTTGTTGCATGAATGTTTCGATGCATGAATAATTTGGACGAATAAATAATTAAATATTGGCTTTATTTTAATTACTTCAAAATGATCTGTTGCGAACCATATTTGTATGCTATATGTCATAACTCGTCCCACGTCTCTCGATTTTATTTTTAAATAATAATGTGTATTCTTCACATCTTAGTGTTATCTTTACAACTATTTCTAAAAAACAATAGTGACAATTGTCGCATTAAGGTGCACGGTTTTCGCACCAGCTTTGTATAAAAAGCTTTTCTCATCTATTAGCAAATTTGTCATTAGAAAATGTAACGTCGCGATGTCATAAAAGTTAGCTCAACTTTAATTGTAATAAATACGCCCATCAGGAATCTCAGTTGTATTTCCTTTACTATTGACACTTATGATTGACACTTTGTATTTTTAACAGTTGATGTTTAGCAAATTTTTGTTATAGCTTCTGCGATATGTGATGCATGTATTTCCGCCTGGCATTACGATTGATATAACAGAGCTTGAATTTCGTGTTTTGTACATTTACTTATTACCCAGACACTTACGGCAACAATGAGCGTGAAGAAAAGTAAGAGTGTCCGTTTCATGTTTTGGGAATCACTTTCTTCTTCGCGATAATAGACTTTGATTTGCGATTAATAATTCGCAATTATTCAGGTACGAACTGCTGTAAATATCGCGTAATACGGGATTTATATACTCACGATAAAAAAATAATATTGAAGTACGCAAATATCGGAGGTTATCAGATGCAATATCATGCAAATGCCGAAGCTCAGAAACAGAATTCCGTCAATCGCTATTCCATGAATCTCGGCGTTTTACTGACATTCGCGCGAATTTATTGTTAAACACGAGTGGAATTGACATAATAAGAATGGTACGTTAAGGTTTGATTTCCTATTAATTATTGATTCATTACTTTCGCGTCTGTGTTTTTTCTTAAACGATGTGATATTCGAAACGTGCGGAACAAGTCATTCGTGAAAGTGTAAATGTATTTTGTTGCTTTTTGTTTGTTGCTTTTTGTTTGTGTCATATATGCGTTTCTTTTTTACGGATGTTTCGTTGCGTGAATGCTTTAATGCATGTAAGATTTGGACGAATAAATGATCAAATATTAACTTTGTTTCTTCAGAATGATCTGTTGCCAACAGTAATCCATTAACCAATGATTGGATATTAGTCAATTATATATTGAAATATTTATTTATTGCAAATTTAGTAATTAATATAATTCTTCTCTAGATAAAGTAATAATTAAAAAATTAAAATGGCGTCTAAAAACATGGTGTGTAAACAGTAAAAGATCAATATAATAAACATAATTTGTTTTTTATTATCTTTCTCCTATACAATGGTTTACGAGTATTCATTATTGCGGACACACTTGCTTAAATTAGATTACATAATTTATATAACAGTGGAAAACTACTTCCACCATATATTTTATTCAAAGTCAAATTTGTGATAATAAGAAACTGACAAGCGTCTTTTTCTTATTAAAATGGAAGGTTATGCAAGCACAGTATGGATGCTGGAATTCTATAAAAAACTTCCTTATTTCTTTCAAGGAAGAACATTTTTTTTTTAACTCTTCTCTTCAATTTCAAATATGGAATAGTTTTATGTGAATCTGGGAAACCCATGATATGTGCTAGCCCAGAAGCATCAAACATGATAAGATAATAGCATTGCCTCTAATATAATTACCATTTTTTATTTACTCATCGATATTATTACTTCTGTATGTACGTTCCATTTTATATATAAAACACAATATGTATTTGAGGCTCACTTCACACTCGTTGGTTTTGCTTCTAACTGAAATGAACAAAAAATGATTATAAAATGTAATTACAATTATTCGTGTTAATTAAACCGGTCACAACATATTATGTACAAAAGGTGCATAATTCAAGGAATGATTGGAGTTCTTTTCTCGTGATATTTCTATTTTCATAAATATGTACCTTGATCAGCACAAGTATCAAGTATTTTAAATGCTCTGGTGAGTTGATTAGGTCTAGCTTTTTTGTGGGAGCTTATAAACTGCTTTATGTAGTCCACATTTACACGCGCACCCGTCATCTGGAATTAATGCTTTACAATTACGATGTAGTATTACAATTTATATATATATATATATATATATATATATATATATAGAGAGAGAGAGAGAGAGAGAGAGAGAGAGAGAGTTTCTAAATAAGTGCGAAAAATTATAAAAAACATAAGGTTGCTTATTAATATCTTTTTAATTTATTCGTATCGTTACTAGGAGATAAAATTACGTATTCAATTTTTTATTATAATTTTTTAACAAACCGGAATGTGATTATCTAAAAATATGTGTTAGGAAGCTTGATTCCTTTAGATATTTTTTTACTCTTGTTTTCTTGTAAAGACAAAAGTTTTTCTGGAAAGACAGTTTTCATGTACAGAAATAAAATATGTTAATCCACGGTAATCAAATTGCATTTCTAATGAAGTTAAATATGTCAAGTAGGCGGTAGCTAGATTGGCAACTCTCTTTACATTAAAATTTAATTTTTCAATGTTTTCCAACATTTAAAAAAAGAAATAAAAACCTAACTATTAGTTTATCTATTTTCAAGGAGCTTTCTATTTCAGTTTATCTTAAAGCATCGGCAGGAAGAATATGCTATCTCTCTCTCGTATAATAACATCTCTTACGAGATCGACTCTTTCGTTCTTTCTCAACTTACATCTTAGAGAATTTATAAACATGCGTTGAGATTACTGTCGAAGCCTCGGTGGCCGAATGGAAAGGCGTCCCGCCCGGAAAGTGGCGAGGTTCCAACTTTCTTGAGAAAAATATAACTCCTTAAGAAGAGCTATATTAGTATATGTTTATATAAAAAATTTTAAACTGAAATAGAAAGTTCCTTGAAAATAGATAAACTAATAGTGAGAAATTAACGGTACATAAGGAGCAAGCACGGATGTCTTAGTGCTATTAAATACTAATATTACTTTATTTAATATTAATATAATTGTGGGAGGATAAAATTGTCCAGTATGTTAAACGCACGATCGAAATTTTTCTTCGAATATCGTACGCGGAGAATCACCTTCCATACTTAGACCGATCCTTGAGTCCCAATTTTTAAATATATATTTTTATTAAAATCCCAAACCCCCATTAAACAAATGACTCAAATAGATTCCTTATATTATGTTGCGAAAAAACTGCCTCCGCCAGGACTCGAACCTGGAACCTCGCCACTTTCCGGGCGGGACGCCTTTCCATTCGGCCACCGAGGCTTCGACAGTAATCTCAACGCATGTTTATAAATTCTCTAAGATGTAAGTTGAGAAAGAACGAAAGAGTCGATCTCGTAAGAGATGTTATTATACGAGAGAGAGATAGCATATTCTTCCTGCCGATGCTTTAAGATAAACTGAAATAGAAAGCTCCTTGAAAATAGATAAACTAATAGTGAGAAATTAACGGCACATAAGGAGCATAAAAAATTTTCTCCCTCCTTAATTTTCTACAAAGAATGATCTCTTATAGTTTTTCGTACTAATTTAGAAATATACTGTATGAGAGATAAATTCTATATTACACAACACATTATTAGTTACTGTTTTAATTTCTGCAACATAAAATAAAGTATTATCAGTTTGTTCCAATATTAATCTCAAACTTTTTATAATATGCGAAAATCTGAACACTCTCTCGTCTCCTCGTTGACTAAAAACTATATATGCATGCGTGTGTGTATATGTCGAAGTCTGTGTGCGGTTTGTATTTTTGATAAATTATTGATTATGATTGATTCTTACCACTCCTTTTTTTTGGCCTAAGCAGGCGAAGAAACAGCCTATCTTTACAGCTGAGTTATCGAAATCCATAGTCTGTAACCTGTCTTCGGAAATTTCGTCAATTTGCATTAGATCTTCTAGAAATTGAGTCGATTAAATCGATTAGATTAGTATCATTCAAAATTGCACGAATTAATAAGAATGGCACACAAACGGAAGCTCACCAAGTGTTGCATTTGTTTTGTGGAAGCATGTCTGCACTTCTTCTCTCGTCATTTCTAGAGAACTCGCTATCCTTTCCGCAATATCTTCGAAGCTCATTGTCTGCAACAGGTAAATATAATTAATTACTTCGTAGAATGGCCATGCGTATGTTGCAAAAATGCATTATTACCGGGGAAGTTTTACTTTGAGTAGTGAGTGTTTGTATTGTTGAGGTTATATTAAGTTGGGACAAAGATTCGTGGATTTGAAGCGGGATTACAATAAGAAATTTCCTTTAACTGAATTTTCTTAACAGATTTCTGTTATTATTACGCTCTTAATTACGGTCGTCTTTGTTTTGTTATTAACATGTTAACTACTGCCATGGTAGTTACTATTCGTTAACGCTATTTTATCGTTGCGCCTCAGTAATTTACGTATAAAACATGGAACTATATACAATAAACTATATACAATAAATTTAATATAGATTGATACAAAGGAAAAATGGGGTAACGTGTATATGCATTGTGATTTACAATTTTGGCGATTCAAAGTTAAGTTCAGCATTGAAATAATCAATGGCAATTAGAGTGGTGCAGTTAACGTAATATAATATAATAATTAGGCGTTAATAATATAATAATTAGGCGAAAGTGAGAGATTGCTAATAAGAGTCTATCATAGATACAAAAATATTGTACATAAGGAAATGTAATTAATATTTGGCGAAACAAGAAACATGGCGATGTAGTTCTTAGAGCATTGACGTCAAAATAGTGATAATTTTTATGCTATATGTCAAAACTCATCTCACGTCTCTCGATTTTATTTTTAAATAATAATGTGTATTCTTCACATCTTAGTGCGATCTTTACAACTATTCCCAAAAAACAATAGTGACAATTGTCGCATTAAGATGCACGGTTTTCGCACCAGCTTCGTATAAAAAGCTTTCTTCATCTATTAGCAAATTAGTCATTAGAACGTCATGATGAAATGCAACGTCACGATGTCACAAAAGTTAACTCAACTTTAATTTTAATAAATACGGCAATCAGGAATCTTAGTTGTATTTCCTTTACTATTGACACTTGTGATTGACACTTGATATTTTTAACAACTGATGTTTAGCAAATTTTTGTTATAAATTCTGCGACATGTGATGTATGTGTTTGCGCCTAGCATTATAATTGATATAGCAGAGTTTGAATTTTACTTGTGTTTTATGTACATTTACTTATTATCCAGACACTTACGGCAACAATGAGTGTGAAGAAAAGTAAGAGCGTCCGTTTCATGTTTCGACTTGGGAATCACTTTTTTCTTCGCGATAACAGATTTTGATTTACGATTAATAATCCGCAACTATTCAGCTATGAACTGTTGTTAATATCGCAATTTACGGGATTTATATACTCACGAAAAAAAAATAATATTGTGTTACTCGAGTGTCAGAGGTTATCAGACGCAATGTCACGCAAATGCCGAAGTCACAGAAAGAGAATTCCGTCAGTTGCTATTCAATGAATCTCGCCGTACTGCGTTGACTTTCACGCAAATTCATCGTTAACCACGAATGGAATTAATATAATAAGAATACGTCAGGGCTCGATTTCCTATTAATTATTTTTATTTTCGCTTCTGTGCTTTCTCTTGAACGAAGTGATCTTGGAAACGTGCGGAATTAGTTATTCGTGAATGTGTAAAAGTATTTTGTTGTTTTTTGCTGGTGTGATATGTGTGTTTCTCTTTTTTGGATGTTTCGTTGCATGAAAGCTTCGATGCAATCGAATGATTTGGACGAATAAATGATCAAATATTAACTTTATTGCTTTAGAATGATCTGTTGCGAACGGTATTCTTTGACTACAGTAATCCATTAGTCAATGATTGGACATTAGTCAAATATATTTTGAAATATTTGCGGTATTTAATCACTGCAAATTTATTAATATATAATTTTTAATACTAAATTTTCGTAATAGGAATACAATTCATATAATAGATTAAATTTTTGTAATGGGTTGTACTTCATTTATTAAGCATAACGCGAATTTCAGATTCAATTCGTATTTTTTGTAAATCCAAATTGAATAACAAATTTCGAAAATATTGATAACGTAAAGACGATCGTCAGAACATCATATCAGATAAACACTGATACAAACACACTACACTCTTCTTATTTCTTATTTTTTATACATATAAATCTTGTATAAATATACACGGTTCGGTCTGTACCATATTTTGCAGAAATCATAACCACGCATATATAAAAATCTTTCTACCTTTAAATTACTTTAAATTAAAATAAATTGTATTTTCAAATTTCTTTAAATTACAATAAATTGTATTTCGTATTCCTGTTTTCTAAAATCTGTAAGAAGTTTTAACAATGTGATGAATTATGTTTAATTTGTCTAATTTGCGATTTAGGATGAACTATTCTTGTGAACTATAGAGTGACCGACAAATTTTTTTTCTGTACACACACACACACGCATGCACGCGCACACACACATATATATACACATTTCTGGACCTCTTCTCCTTTAGTTTCTTTTCCTATAACGAAAAAACGAAATCTGTGTAGATTTGATAGACCCATTGGTGTATATTTTAAGGTGATTTAGAAATATCAGTATTTTATTATTTCTTTTTCATTTTACGTGTATGTGTCTCTCCTCTTTAGTCAATGTTTCGTCGTATGATTATTTCGTAAGAATATGAATTATCGGAAATTTTACCACAAAAAACAGATTTTTCGATAACTGGAGAATAATTGGAGAAATAAAAATTTTGCTAGTGTTCGTAGATTCTACGGAATAATTAAGTACACGTATTAAACTTAATTAACGCAAAAGGACAAGTATTTTCAACAATTGTTGGCCTATTTTCTTGTGTCTCATTGTATATTCGTTTTCTTGTTTTTTCTATTTTCCTTTTTAATTCTATCATTAACTATTACCTAGTTGTCTATGATATTTATAAATCTAAAAAAGTCAAGAATGGACAAGACAAGAATAATCGTATAAAATAATTTACGTAACTATACTGTTAGAAAAGTTCTTAGAAATAATATCATTTTTGAAACTAAATTTAAGAATTTGATATTAAAATTAATAATAGTAAAGAGTGTCATAACTTTAACCTTTAGAGGGCCGGGATTTGAGAGGGCATATCC